GGTCTGGCTGCTGTGCTCAGCTCCTTCCCACTGCTGCCCTTGAGGGTGAACCTGTTGTGCCCCTGTGGCGAGATATTCTGCTCTTGGACTAGCTGGTTGGATCTATCCTCTACACTCTCTGCAGGGATTGCAGCTGCAGGATTACACCCCAGGCATGTATACCAGGCCTGAGCTGTGCCTGGAGGGGGCAAGGTGAAGTAGGGGGAAGAGGAAGCTTTCCCACACACTCACCGGACCTGGGCTAGGACTGCTTCTGGGGGTTCCCGGAACTGGGCAGAAATTCCTACTCGGTGGGCGGGTTGGGGGAGGTACTGCGGAGTGGTGGGGGGCGGCCCAAGGGGGTGGGAAAGGGTCCGGCCCACGCTGCGCCTGGGCTGGGACTGGTCCCGCCTGCACAGGGTAACAGGAAGTTCTCCACACACTCACCGGACCTAGGCTAGGTCTGGGTCTCCCATATTGCATTTTAACCTGCTTAGATGAGACTATATTAGGACTGAGTGCAGAATAGGAAAAAAAGACATTTTAATGTGAAATTATTTTTGTACTAGAGTAAATAAAAAGACTCCATTCCACCCCTCGATATGCTAAAGTAATCTCTTTTATGTCTTTCCAGACTTTAAAATTGATACTAACCTGAACAATTTTTATAAATATAAAGTATTAATTCCTTTATTTAAATAAGCATTTATCTAAATAAAACACAATTTTCATTTGATATTTTAATTTTTTTATTTTTTATGTATTTGATACAGGGTCTTACTAGGCAAGTTGGACTCATAGTGATCATCCTGTTTTCAGCCTCCCCAGCACTTGGCTTACAGGCTTGGGCTACAATACCCAGTCTCCATGGCTGGCTCAGTGCACCCAGGGGGGAAGAGAGAAGATAGGACCAGGGATGGGGGATCTAACCCAAGTCCCTGAGCTTGCCTAAGCAGGCTGCTTATTCCTCTGAGCTATCTCACCAGCCCTTCTTTTGCCTTTAAAACAGAAAGCACTTCCTTGCAGATTAATTCAGTTTTTCAAAGTATATGTAAAATTGTCTGTCGCACCAGAAATGCCTTGATAGGAAAAGAGATAGCACATGAACACTAATAAAGAACATTTATTCAAACCTTTATGTGTATATAAACATTTTTCTAACTTCATTTAATTTGCAGTAGTTTCACAGAAGTCATACTGATCTACAAAAATTTACCTTGTACTACACTGTCATCAAAAATTTACCTTTGTTCATGATCCTTGGTAGTTAATGTATGAACAACTTTCAAAACTTCAGAAGACTGCAATTTACAAGTAGTTTTAAATTTTTTGTAATCATTTTATGACTTTAAAATAAATATTTCTAAAATTATTTAAGAAAAAATATTTAATGGGTATCTAATCAAATTATTAAAAATAAAATACAGCCTACAAAGCACACAGGAATTTTTTCTTCTGATCTTTGCCTAGCTAGCACTCTGTGATTTTCCAGGTAACAGCATGTAGCATCTTATTTCTTTCCTCTTCTTCCTCCTGGTGTCTCCTACCTCCCTCCATATCACTTTTCCTCCCCACTTCCCTGGGATATAAAGATCTTATATATAAAATATTTTTATTCAAAGCATTTTAAGTGTATCCTCCACAATAAATGACTAGAAATATGCAAATAAAAGTCTTTTAAACTTATTGTAGTAAATTATTTGTAGCATAAAATTAATCACTTTAGCCACACATAAATACATAGTTCTGAGGCACAAAGTATGTTCACATTATGAAACCAGCATCACCATCTCTGAAATTTTTCTCTATTCTCAATATAAAACTACAAGTTCATTATATAATACTTCTGTTTCCTCCCCTCCCCCTGGTAACTACTGTTCTATATTCTGTTTCCATAAATTTGCCTACTATAGGCACCTCAGGTAAGTGCATCCATAGTATCTGTGCTTTTGTGTTGGATTTACTTCATATAATGTCTTCAAAGTTCACCCACATTGTAATATGTGCCAATATGTCATTTCTATTGAAGGTTGAATAATACTTCACTGTATATGTGTAGTAAGCCTCATTTATCCATCACTTTGCAATGGGTATTTGGAGTGTTTCTACCTTTTGGCTATTGTGCATAATGCTACTATGAACATTTGTGGATAAGTCTTTTAATCCACACTCCTAACTGCTACATATATAATCAATGAACTTATTTGGGAACACTGATTCCAATTGCTGATGCTGAAATTCTTAAATCAGCTTAATCTAACCCTGATAGAGATTTTTGTCTTGAATATTTTTGTCAACAACTTAAAAGCAACCTTAATCCTTAAATTTGAAGTTTTTCTTGAAAATATATTCAGGAACTATTCATCATATAGCCAAATGGGTAATGGAATATAAAAATTGATTCTCCCTAAAACCAGTCATTCAGCAAAGTCTAGTTGACATGTGGAAACTTTGTGGAAGATGATCTACCTCTGAGTCAGTGAGAGCTCAACAGCTGTTGAGAGTGTTATAAACTAGCATTGTATCTCTAAATTTTGTCCAGACATGTCAGGAATGATTAAAGGAAAAAATACCATCCTCAGGGGATATGCAGATCACCTACACCTGAAGACCCTTCTGTTTGTGGCATTCTTTGTAGTCTATCTGATAACCATGGTGGGAGATCTGGGTCGATGACCTTGACCTGTACACAGCATCAACTTCATACATCAGTCTACATCTTCCAGGGAAACCTAGCTCTTGTAAATTCTTGTTGTGTGTGTATACTATCTGCCCCCAACATGTTAGAGAACTCTGAGAACAGAGGGCTTTCCCTCTATGAATGTATTACACAGATTTATATTTTTTTCACTGTTGAAACTGAAGGCTGCTTTCTTCTGACAGCAATGGCCTATGACTGCTATGTGGCCATTTACAGACCACTGTATTATCACACAATGATGTTTAAGAAGCTCTGTGTTCAAGTCCTAGCCCAGGTCCGGTGAGTGTGCGGAGAGTTTCCTGCTACCCTGCGCCGGCGGGACCAGTCCCAGCCCAGGCGCAGCGTGGGCCGGAC